TCTCTCTCTCTCTCTCTCTCTCTCTCTCTCTCTCTCTCTCTCTCTCTCTCTCTCTCTCTTTCGTTTTGTATAATACATGGAAGTAGGGTAATCGTTAGAAAAGCGCATCACTAACATACATAACCATGTAAAAACGTAATATTGAAAAAGAAACTGTGAAAGAAAATTGACTCCTCCTACGACTTAGTTAGATCTTTCGTAGATCCTCTCGCAAATCGTGTGTATGTAGGTAAACACCTATTACGTGGTTACTTTATCACGTTTATTAGGTAGTGTGTGTTGTGGTAAAGGTGCCCGGGTGTGTAGGATGGTGTAGTCGGTAAGTAGGATGATCGTAGGTCCCCACGTTATCGATGCCAGTTTCCAAACGGGTTTTCTCTCGTAATCTCGAAACGGGTTTTGCGTTGTCTCCGCGTAATGCCACGTAGAAATGGCAAAACGCAGGACGATATCTTCCTTTTCGATGGAAACTCGTTCATTTGTTGTTCGATTTATCAAGTAGTAGTAGTAGTAGTCATAATGGAAAACGTATGGTACGGTAAACGCGATAACAAATTGCTTGACCTCATCCGAAATGATCGTCGAACGTGGATTCACTCGAACGAGTTATATTTCTTTTATTATTTTATTTTCTTATATTTTTATATTATTTTTCTATCGGTTATTACGCGGTCGTAAAAGCAAGCAAGCAAGCAAGCAAGCAAGCAACCGCAGAACGAGTTCGCGTTTTATTCGACTTTCGTTTCTCTCTGTCTCTCTTTCTCTAATTTTTTCTCATAGTTCTTTTTTACTGTTTTACTTTTTTTTTAGTCTCGTCCAGTCCACACTCCTTTTCGATTCCTTGTTTTTATTTTTCCTATAGTCACGCTATTCTCCCACAATCTCTCTCTCTCTCTCTTTTTTTTCCCGTTTTCTTCGTGAAAAACTATTGGATCGTAACCACGGAATATTACTCTCTCGCGTTCGTCCGAAATCAAACGTTTCTTCTATTACTTTTGTTTCGTTCTACTGCAGCACGTTTTCTAACGGTCTATTTTAAAGGAATAAGATATATAAATCAATTTGGCTCGTCAAACCCATTGGTTTTAATCTTTCATTTGGTTCGTTGTAAAGTTTCTTTAAAAATGATCTATGAATATAACAGCAGCAGCAGCAACTTTCACATTTAGCTTATAAACAATTTCCTCTCCCAAGTTGTGTCTTAGCTTTAAATAATTAAAAACTTTGAATGAATGAAATGTAACGCGTGAAACCATTTTGACGAATTTAACTAACGATGTATTTCCGATTGCGTTTGATCGGCCATTGATTTCGTAACGTTGAGTAACAACGAGCAAAGAAACTCACTCACTCACTCCGTACACTTTGTCGTAGAAGTAGTAGAAAATCCGTTCTAATTGTAAGCTTTCACCGATCACCGTCCTTCATAGTAAATCCCATAGGTCTCTATGTAGAGATTCAGTTCGATCGAGGAAAGTTCGTTGACTATGCAGCGCGCGTCTAATACCATGGTTGGTGTGTGGTGTCACTTACCCTATGAGTAATTCCCTCCCATTTTGGATATTTTCATTTAGCAACTAGTCCGTAGTATTATTTTGGGCAAATTCCAATAATAACGAAGCATCGATAACATCAAATATATATATATCCTGTTGTTTAACCGATTAACTATGTATATCACGTTGTCGATTGGTTGAGAGTATCGTAAAACAAGAGCATGGGTATAAATACGTACATATAGAAATCTATATACATAAATCTAGAAATATATATATATATATTGTTTAAAGTAACTTGGTTGATGTGTTGCACATTCTCTATCTCATCGTCATAAAGAAACAAGCAAACACCATCCGCAAGTACTCTGCTTCCGTAGGAAAGAAAAGAAGTAAAATCGATCCAGTTTGGTCTTGGTCGTCATCGTCGTCGATGGTGGCGGCGTATAGTACTAAGAAGGGAGCCATGTTGGATTTCAAGATGGCGCAGGACCAGAATGCACGAGGCCTCGCGAAAGCTTATTTATTAAGGGTGTCGACGACGGAGAAGCTCGACAAAGGGAAAGGTGACGCCTTTCACCTTTGGGAGAAGACAAAAGAAGCTCCTCGTTGCCCTCTCCGTTGTGTACAAAGGCCAAGAGCAAAGAGTCTCTCTAGTTTTTGTCACGGAGAAGAGAATGGGAAAGAAAAAACACGAGGGTCCCGAAGGATCTCGCATCGATCGGCGTGATAAAAGGCGAACCGAACGAAAGAACGAATGAACGAATGAGGTGTTCTCCAGATCGGCGGGGAGATGGGAGCGATTGAGCAGAAGAAGGAGGAGGACCCCCAACCCAGACAGAGTTCAAATCCAAACAGGCTGATCCATTGATCACAACTAATCCCTTTCTTTCAAGCTTTTTTCCCTCTTTTCTCTCTTCTCTCTTATTATAGTACCCTCACTCGTGTGATAATGAAATCGTCGACCGAAAGAAAGAAAAAGATTCACGTGCCCGCGGGGTGGGAAAGCAAAAAGAGAAGAGAAGAGGAGGAGGAGGAGGCTGGTGGTGGTGGTGACGAACTCTTGTACGACACTGATTTAGCGGTAGGTCAGTAAATTGGTTGAAAACTGTCGAACATGACACAGACCGACCGTACTATTACACCTCTAAACCTATTCGTTCTTTTTGATTTCCTTTTCTGTTCTGTTTCGTTCATTATTTTTTTGTTTTACCTTATTTCTTTTCTTATTTGTGTTTCCTTTGTGCTGGTTTTATCTAATTTTTCTTTTCTGCAAGATCTCTCTCTCTCTCTTTCTCTCATTGTTGTGTTGCATATACTTTTCAATCGAAGTAGCCAAACCCGAAATTAGACTTTTTCCACGATCGACATTCTTTGACCGTCGATCGGAGATGTTCGATATTCTCTCTCGCTCTTTTTCTTTAACGAATACGAGTGGTTAAGATTGTCGAACACCCTCCTTCGAAATATCGTAAGTAGCATTCGTTGCTCGTTTTAATAATCCGAGTGATTATTTTTTTCTTTATTCTTTTTTTTGTTCATTTGTAAATGTCGTGTTGTCGTTGAGTTACAAGTTTTTCCATTGTAGATAGTTTACAATATAGGATAGGATGTCTACGAGTAAATTTTGTATCGTCTTCGATTAGTAGATAGGAAAGATTTAAACCATTAGCTCGACATTTTGTTTTTGTTTCTTTTCAAGTAGTAGGTAGAAACGCTATGACTACTTGCGTCCACAATTCTATACGAATTTTGACAAAGCTTCAAAGTGTGAAACAAAATCCAAATATTCAACAAATTATGCTACGTATTTCTAATTTTTATTGGAACTATTTGGCGAGACAAAAATATATAACACGATAATGTTACGTTATTAAAATTTTCTTTGGCAAAAAGGAAAAACTAAACAAGGACTGCATTACCATGCGAAATTCTGCAAGGAGGAGACGGATATTCGGTCGATGTTACAGGGAACACAAGTTGCTGATAATACAGAAATCTACTGTTGGCACGAATGCTAACTAGCTTTTCTGTAATTGCTACGTACAAAAAGTTTTTCAACGAATCTTGACCAAACGATCATTTGTTTATTTTCCAACGAATTTCAGCTTCTTATAAAAAAAAAGAAAAGAAAAAACGATTAATTAAACGATTGGTACGAGTTTTTTGCTATTACGAAATTGTAGTTTGCGAATGGTTTATCTGTTTGGCCTCTTACCCCCGATAATAATTATGCGATTTCATAGAAAACCTCGTTGTGTGATTAATATGATTTTTACTTAAATAGAAAAAAGAGGAAAAGAAAGATTCGCGTTTATAGCATAAAATTATCGTATCCAAATACTGCAACGTGACTATATTTCCTTTGGATAGAACACGAGCAATAGTTACATAAATCTGAAAGCGTGTTCCCACCTCGTTGCAACGAGTAGCAGTAGTAGCATGTTGCGTATACCAGTTCTCGTCTAACGTTCATTGATTTTTACACTGGTCTTCGCGTGCTAACTTTTTCCAGCCCATAATTCGATGGTCTTTTCGCAAAGATATGTATTACGAAGACTCGATTGTTAATTCTCAACTAACGAAACCTATGTTAAAATCCATTCTTTTTTTTGTTTTTTTACTTCCTATGATTGAATAATAATTCAACAATTTATCGAAAATACCATTCCCATGTATACAAAATAAACGAAGCTAAGAGAAAGAACAAGTTGAAGATTGTCGAGAATTAATTGATGAAAAAATTGAGAAGATCCTCGAAGGGGAAAAGAAAATATCAGGAAGGTCTTCGCCTTTAATCAAGGCTCCTCTAGGTCATACACTTTTTTTCATGTTCTTGCTAATGAAAAATAGGAAGGGAAAGAGAGAAGAAAATGTTGGATCGGTTGTTGATGAGACGTGCAAAAGGAAAGGACACAGTCATTCGCATGAATTATTTTTCCTGAGCTGGGCGTGACCAGGGTGCACTTTGCGTATATAAGACAACACATAGTTGGGGTGGTTTTGGTATCGATGCTGGCAATGGTTCTAGTAGCAATGCTCCTACTAGCAATGCTTCTAGCGGTCGTTGCGGATTTAGGAGGGTTACTGCATTGGGGTATGGTGTTTCCCGTTGGCCATCTGTCGAGAGTACCCCCCGTGGATTAATTGGAGCCCTGCGTATTGATCCAATAACGTAGAGGTACTGGATACACGAGCCACTAACAGGGAGGGAGGGAGGGAAGTAACGCGAGTCGTCAGCCTACGAGGAGGGTTAGAGGGGTTCGAATAGAGAAAAAGGGAACGAGATAAAGCTACAGATATTTCTGGGATATATGAAATATGTTGTAAGGAATAAGAAAATCTAATAGACAAATCGTTAAACATTCATTCGCTGACATTTCAACTAATTTGAAAAATCCCTAATGGTTCATTCTTTGAATACTTTTGAGATCTTGGGTTATTTCGATTGAATTTAATACGAGTGAATATAAAAAGCAGGAAGCATAAAAAGGGAAGAGGAGATGATGTTTACTCGTTCGAGTAAGGCAGGCAGGAAGGAGGCGAGGCCACTTGCAGTTCTTTCCAAATCTTTTTTCGCTCGGCGTGCGTTTAATTTCTTTTAAAAGGATTCAGGACGCGTAAGCTTGCTAGAAAAAAGGGAAAAGGGGGAAAGTTGGGTAACTTAAAAAGCGACTAACCCCCGTCGAAGACTTTAAAGCAACAACCCCTCTAGTCATTACCATCTTGTTTCATCTCAGCCCATGCCAACGTACGTTGTTCTTCCACCGCGTTAATTGTCAGTCTTAATTAAAACTAATATCGTCCAAATTAAAACAAATTGAGAAGGCAACGCCGTTAGTGTTAGTCTTTCGCGTGTTGTAATCTCGGAATTTGTGGCTCGTTGAAAAGTTTCGCGCTCTCTCGTTCGAAAGAGAGAGAACGAAAAAATTTGGGGGAGGGGAAACTAAAAGGCAAAGAAATTGAAAAGAGAAATAAAGTTCGCGCGTTGAAAAAAAAAACAATTACTTCTCGTTCGGAAATGAAACATACCATAACTGAATGTTCTTATTGTTTTATTTCCTTGAAATTGGATTTATTATTCATCGACTCTCTCTCTCCCTCTCTCTCCAGGTTTTGTTCGGCGTACAACGTGATCGCTTGAATTTATACAGTTTCTATTGGATTATAAAGTTCTATCGAGTTTTGTTCTTTTTTTTTTTTTTTTTTTTAATCGATCGTATTATTCTTACGCGCGCACACAACGCGACTTGACAAAGTATTACACGATCAATGTTTAATAATACATATTACATGTAGATATTTAATATGCAGGTATTCTTTGAATCTCAAATCAGAACTCAACTCGATATATATATATATATAAATATCTAAATACTACGTGTGCATATCTAATTACACATAAGGTAATGGTGCTTATATCAACGTTTATACAGTTAACGTGTACGTGTGAACATAGCTTGATTACAGCTGCCACTGCGACGTGCAACGCATGCAAACTGCTGCCCGCCGCAAATACATAGATTATATCGATCCGGGGACTTTTCACTCCGTCGGAAAAACTCGTCGGCAACTTTACGTGTCGCGTCGGAGTTTGATTATGTTTGCGATGCTACAAAATTTTCCTTTTAACTTTAACTTTTTCTTTTTCTTTTTCTTTTCTCCCCGGTCGAGAGAAATCTTTTTAGCCGACCAAATTAATTTCTACGACTATTATTTGCATGATCGAAAGAGAAAAGAAAAGAAAGGAAAAGAAAAAATAATGCTAAGAAATATACGACGCGCGATTTATTCTAATGGAAGTGTGTTAATAATAGAGAATTGACCAAAGTATTATCTAAAATCTATAGTAATGCGCCTACACAACAACGAACGACATCTGCATGTGGCAGCATGTACTCTACGATCTACAACATCTATGGGGTTCTCTGTCTAAGGTCTCTCACGCGAATTAACATGGCGGACCTTTCTCTTTTTTTAATATACATTTTTCAGAGAATTAGAGTTTGACCAGGATTCTCATCGGTTGACTTGTTTCCGTTCGTGGTTGTTGGGTTGTCCCTTTTCGTCCATCTTGCTTGTATTCATTTCTGCTTTTCTTCTCTACTTTTTTTTTCGGCATCCTCCAGATAAATAAAAGGTAACAGCTAGCTAGCTAGGTTTCCTCTTGGTATCCCTCTTCTCCTCCCTCTTCTATCCCTTTTCTTATCGATGGAAGATTCGCCACCTAGCGTCCATGCCCTGAAGTAAAGTACAGAGAGAGGGCGAGCCGACAACGCGTTCCCATCCAACCCCAATCGCGACTTCTCTGCTGCTCCACCCCATATCATTCGAAGCACCACAGAAAAAGCACCCACTATTCACAGTCATCACGTTTTAACAACTTGTCTCCGTCACGATCATCATAGTTAGACGCCACCAACACGGTTGTCCCTCGACACTTCTCACAAATCTCACCAACAAAGAATGGCCCTCTCCATCTTCATTTCGTATCATCATTTCTATCAGATTTTTCGCGAGCAACCTTGATATGTTAACATTTGCATCGATCTCGTTCGAGACTACCACCACCCCTCTTTATGGAGTCACTCCTAATTTGGTATACCAAACTACGCTTGGATACAAAATCGATTATTTAGGATCTGCTTCGAATAAGACATTATTGGGGTTTTTCTTTTTTGCAATCAAATGATTCATACCAGAAAATAAAAAAAGTCTAGTTACATGTCCAGTCGTGGAAGTCGTTCAAAGGAAGAGAGATTCGAGACTACCAATTATAGACTTTGAATTACCTATAATTACTTAGAGGATTCTTCAAACTCTATATTATGTTAGTTCTCAGGAGAAACAAAGTTTCGAATCATTGTATATAATAGGATATTATTGTTTCTTAACCAAACTGATAATAAATGTATGAGAATTTTTGTTGAGAAAATTGTGACATCGTTTTCGCGTTTGAACACCGGCCATCTTGGCAAATGGCAAGCAGAGAGAGCATGCCTGCGAAAACGAAACGTATCTTGTCCTAAATATCTTCTCTCAATCACTGGGGAAATGGGAGACGGATTTTTCGAGACGCGAGATAACTTGGGAGAATCGTTTTCGAATGAATGTCTTTGTCCCGACGATTACGAGATTAAAAAGAACGAGGAAGAAGCAAGCCGCGCCTTCCAGGAGGAGCTACCTTATCGACCGGAAACACCACATCGTTCGTGTAGCATCTACATTGGCGATAATAAAAGAGACACCTCCGCGTTCACCTCGTGGCCATCTTTCTTCCTAAAAGCCTCGGATTACTAAGGATGACGATGGGCCACGAATGTGTTGGCAATTTTCTAAATTTTCATTCCTATACTCACACCCATCATCTATCCGTTTAAATATGTACATATATGATAAAACATAATAATGGTTGCTCGATCAAACAAAGTTTGTTCACGAAGCAGCACCAAACAAGATAATACGACACCCCTCCCAGCCGTGTTTTATTAATCCAACGAAGAATAAGAATAAGAAGAAGAAGAAGAAGAAAAGTAATGAAACACGAAAGATGAAATTGTAAGAAGAGGTGTATTAGGAATAGAGAGGTGTTCAGCCATCGCGGCGGTGTTATTTTTCCTGAAAAAAATCCTTGGCGTCGAGGATCAGTCGTCGTCGTCGTCGTCGTGGTGGTGGTGGTGGTGGTGGCGGTGGCGTTGAATGGACCACGAGACGAGGACAATGTCCCATCACACCAGTAACTTTTTGAAGGCGTACTGCTGTGACAGGACAATATCCCCGGCACTGGTCCACATGTGTCCTGCGGGTGGGTCCTCTTCCCTCGTCCGATGTGATAGTGCCACTGAACAACAGTCCCGATATCTTTCTCAAACACAGGAGGAAGAGGAGGAGAATGAATCTCTTGAAAAAATATCCCAAATACTTTAGCTACATTTTGGTAGATTCTGGGTGGTGGATCGATCGATTACTCGAATCCGCGACGCGCCAACTCGCGGCGTCTACGTTGCTGCTTGCGTGTTTCTTCTTACGTCGATGAAAAAGAAAAAAAAGGTTAAGAACTGCAGCAACGACGGACACGACGACGGCAACGACAATGACGACGAAAGACCCGGTGTGTTAAAAGTAAAAATAAAGGTAAAGGCGAAGAAAATGTTCAACGAGAAGAAGAAGGTTTGTTCTCGTTCGCGTTCAACCGAATGTTCCTCTCGCGGATTGGTGAAACACCACGTATCGCTCGGCCGAGCGTCCCGACGGCACTGCGTCTCTCGATGGCGGTGCCGTCTCCGCACCCTGTCCCTCCCCCACCCAAAAAGCGGGAGAGAGACGATCGGCTACCTTGGAGCCCCACCAGAGCAGGACTCACCCTCAAAACCACCGACTCCTCTCTCGGCGAAGGTGGTCGCGTCTGCGTGCCTTGTTTCCTCCTCGCGCTTGCGCGTATTCGAGGTGCGCGCACGCAACAACCCCTTAGAAGAGGGTAGCCGAACGACTCGATGGTTACCGCGAGGCCACTGCTGCTGCTTCTGCTGCTGTTTACCAGCCATTGGAATATTCACTGAGATACACTGAAAATATTTTTTCATAGATATTACACATTGAAATAGTATACTCTTCGTAATTTTCTTCTTTCCTTTCCCATTCGATGTCTTCTCGCTTCTCTTCCCTCTTCTTCTTCTTCTTCTTCCTTTTTTTCTTCAACGCGTTTACTGGTGGGTGGTGGTGGTGGGTATGGCGAATAACCAAGCGAACAACAACGGGGTCATGGCTAAAAAAAGCGTTCTGTTCTACCGCAAGTTTGACGATGCGTCCGTTGTCGTTCCAATCAATTTTGGATTTACGACCAATTCCAAATCCAATTCTATATTTTCCTGTCTTACCGATGGCAGTGTAACCTGCTGCTAGGGAGGGATTGAAGAATATAGGAAGATGAAATAAACCCTGGTCTCTCCTCTATCCTACATCCATCGTGCGAAAATTTTCCTTGCCTCCGATGGATGGATGGATAGATGTGTGTATGTTTATGTGTGTGCGTTAGGGCTAAGAGAGATTCCCCCATCCCGATCGATTTCTTCCACGAGCTAGGGAAAAACGAAGTAGGAAATTCTCTCGGTTGGAGGAAGAAATTCGAGAAGGAGATCTATCAAGAAAAAGAAAGAAAGAAATAAAGAAGAAGAATAGAAGATAGAAGGAGAAAAGTAAAGAAGAAAGAATGTTCGCAGGGGTGGATCAGGCCGCACGCGGTATTGCTACGGTAAGGTGCGGTGTGCGGGGTTAGAACGCTACGACCCCCGGAAGAGTCCGCTGGAGAGGGAAAGAACGGTGGAGGGGTGTATTGATCCACCAGCTGCGCGTTCTCTCACCCCCTCCGCCTCCTCCACCACCACCATCATCGCCACCACCGTCAGCACCACCGTTCGTACATCGAAACACGTTCGCTCGTTTCTCTTCGACCCTCTCCCAGCAGGCAGGCAGGCAGGCACTCTACTTGCCTCGGGACCTTCTCTTCGCGATCGTGCATCCCCTTTCTCGTCTCGCAAGCTCGACGGCGCACCCCACCCTGCGTGCACCCTCTTTCTCTCTCTAACTGTGCCCGCGAACCTCCACGATATATCCAAACCGACGAACTCTTTCTCTTATATACTTTTATTCTATTTCCTAGCTTTATCCATTTTATTCTATCTCCTTCCCTAGATGTTTTCTTCTATTCTGTCTTATTTTTTCTGCATCCCCTAGAATCCGTTTTTTCTTCCCCTTCATTTCTTTCCCCTCTCGTGTCAGGGTTGCTCCTTATTCGCTGAATTTCAGGATAATGCTGTTCGCGTGATCGTCCAAGAAAGGTCTTCCTTTCTTTCTTTCTTTCTTTCTTCTCTTCTCGAGGATCGATATGTCATGAAGGAAAAGATGAAGAATTAGTCAATCAGATTTCTGTCACATGTGCGGATGAAAACGTAGAATTGTATCCATTTGTACAATATCAGCTAGACGTTCGAACAAACTTTCGAATTATTTGTCATTTCCTTTCGACGTTCACAACAACAAAAAACACCTCTCACTTGGTAATCGTCGTGTTAGTCGATCGATTATGTTGGAAGCCAACAATCAATTCGATTCTGGATGATGGTATATAATCAAAAACTAATAGGCAGGAAATAAATTTTCTTTATTCGTAGTTTGAGTAGATAACAAAAGACAGACCTTGAGAATGCGGGGGTTTCGCAAGTCGAAAAATCTTGGTTCCGAAGGTATTTCGAATCGATGATAATCCCCGAGCCTAAAATGCAAGTAAACGAAAAATGATTTTCTAAAAAAGGGACTTTGTTAACGAAGGACTTACGTTACATCGATTGTAGTCACAAACATCCTGTGGTAGCACATGAAAGAGATGGCAATCAATACCGCTGCATTAACTGCTAACAGTGGTACGAACTGAAACATACGACACGATATGCTTAAAGAAACATCATTTTAGCAAGATTATCAATCTAGATGTTAGCGTATATAGTTCCCGTATTCGTATCAAAATGATTTAGTTGAAATAAAAGGGATAGGAGCGTGTCCCTGTTCGACGATCCAGTAATAGGCGTCCTAACGAATCCGTGAAATTTCTGTTTCAGCGCCGGCATGGAGGCAGCGAACGGTGCTATCGAGCACGATTTTCACAATGCTTTGGTACCGATAAACGGCAGCCATTCTGGCAGTTCTGGTAGAAGTACGCCAAACGGAGGTGATCCAGCTCCAGGGAAACTCTTTGTCGGTGGTCTGTCGTGGCAAACCAGTAGCGAAAAACTCAGGGAATATTTTGGCATATTTGGGACCGTTACTGATGTACTCATCATGAAAGATCCCGTTACACAGGTCGGTTTATCAACATGACTCTCTCGAGGAATTATAAGGAGCGCTTTATACACGAGGCTGTTTGCATCTTCGTTCGAATTTATTTTGCAAGAAAATTCAAAACGTATTTTCCGATTGGTAACACGATAAACGAGAAATTTGTCAATACAGATCCAGCCAGCCAGCAGCTTCGTGTATTTGCTTCCGAATCGACCAATTTTTCGTCTCTTTCTCGATAGGTCAAATCGTACATTAAATCAGTTCTTTCCTTGTACCTTCCAAGTATCTAATTTCTATATATATATATGTACAAGGCGCGCGACAAGCTCGTTTTCAAGGAGATTCGATGCACCAGTTTCTATTCCTTTCACTTTTGCACGAGACTTTATACAGTAGAAAGTAGAAAGAGAGTTGTACTAATCGATGTAACTAATAGCTGAGAGAGTATAAAGGAAGTAGAACGTAATAGTACAATGTATATTGACCGTAAAAAGTGACAAAGGGCAGAAATATATATATGTATATATATATATATATATATATACATATCGAATACATATATATACATATATATATCAAAAGTTTGCTATACACGTAATTGGGAGAAGACGTTTCGCGTAGGGGATTCGAGATTACTCACGAGCCGTAATTGATATTTTCAAATTTTATTCTCCTTGTCTTATATTTAACCCTAGAATGTTTGTCTTTAAATTAGCTTGGAAAGCCTTGCATGTAAATGGTAGTTTGGTAGCATTAGCTAATTGTAAATAACAACATTTATATATACATTTTCTATATATATATATTATATATTTATTTGTAATACGACTACTACTTTTTCGATGCAGTTAGAATCAGGAGGCACACATATGCCTATATATAGGTATGAGTGCATCGTACATTTCGTCGATTGGAAATCGTTCGGGGAAAAAGAGGAGACCGTGTTCTCGAGTTTCCGCGCGATAACGCAATAATTATTGGCCCAGGTGTTGTCGAGCAGCGTGTTTGAGTTTAGGGGGAAGTAAAAAAAAAAAAAAAGAAAAAAAAAAAAGAACCGGAAAGAGACAAAAATCAGGAGAATTTAAGAGAAAAGAGCTAAGCGTAATAATAAGTTGACAAAGCAAAAGAATGAGAGTCCCAAAAAAGGTAGAGAAAGCGGACAGTCGTGCATCGTGGCCGTTCTGGCTTTATCGGTTACAGCGTAGTCGTGGGTTCGGCTTCATCACGTTCGCCGAGCCCGGGAGCGTCGACAAGGTGCTGCAGCGTCCGGTCCACACCCTTGACGGGAAGAAGATCGACCCGAAGCACGCGACGCCGAAGAACCGCGCGAAGCAGGCCAATCGGACGAAGAAGATCTTCGTCGGCGGGGTCAGTCAGGAGACGAGTAGCGAGGAGGTCAAGGCCTACTTCAACCAGTTTGGCAAGGTCGAGGAGACGGTGATGCTGATGGACCAGCAGACGAAGCGGCACCGGGGCTTCGGTTTCGTCACCTTCGAGAACGAGGACGTCGTGGACCGCGTCTGCGAGATCCACTTCCACACGATAAAGAACAAGAAGGTCGAGTGCAAGAAGGCTCAGCCGAAGGAGGCGGTGCAGCCGGGCGCCCTGGCCCTCGGGAAGAGAGTGGTCCTGGGCGCGTTGGGCGTCAGGCTGGCGCCCCAGCCGCCGCTTCCCGTGACCGCGGCGGCCTCCCAGCTGGTGGCCGCCCAGGCGCAGGCCCAGGTTCAGGCAGCGGCAGCGGCCGCGGCCGCGGCCGCCCAAGTGCAAAACGCGGTCGCCGGGTACGGCAAACTCTTTGCCAGCGGGTATCCCGCGTTGTCCGCGTACCGATACGCGCCCTACCCGATTCCGGCGGCCGGACTCGCCGCGGCTGCCGCGGCGGCCGCCCAAGCGCAGGCCCAGGCGCAGGCCCCTGCTCCGGCCCCGCCTGCGGCTGCTGCCGCTGCCGCCGCCGCCGCCGCGGCGAGTCCGGCCGCCCAGGCGGCCCCCGGCAACCCCTATCAAGGCTACTCGCTCACCAACGTCGACATGTCCAGCTTCCAAGGGGTCGACTGGAGCTCCATGTACGGCATGGGCATGTACGTCTAATCCTCGCCCCATCCTTCTTCCATTGCGCGTTCTTTCTACTCGCTTCTACCGACCTACCCCTAAATCCACGCCCCGCTCCTTCCCTCGATCTACCTGTCCCCCCAAATCGGACGAGAATTTACAAGTGCCTGCTGCTTTTCTCTCTGGAGTCTACGACGTCGACAAGAATATCGCGGGGCAACCATCGTCGCGACGATCCCTTTGGTAGAAGCGCGCGAACGCACGCACCATGAAATAGATCAAAAGTTCAAACCGATAAAGACTGGAATACGGGTATGTACCGCAGGAGGATGACTGATCTCCTCGATTAGAGAGATATTTCGTAGCCACGAGAAGTCGCGACATGTTCAAATGTGTTAATCTCTAGTTAAGGGCGAGCTCGTCGAGAGAACTAATTAAATTATCGAGGAAAAGAAAGATAACACGCGAATGCTTCCAAACCAATTCCAAAGTTATTTCTTTTATTTTTCCCCCCCCCCCATTATCTCGATTCGAAGCTAAGCCATATTTAGGGGGGGTTTATAATATCATCGTATCGTTATTTTTGTCGTTGCGGTTTGGTGCTCTTCTTCTACCGCTCCCCGAGGATCGTAATTATCAATTAAAAAATTCGCGTCACCGGATCCGACCTTTTTTCTTTTTTTTTTTAGACGCGCAATGGAAGCAATAAAATATAACGGGTGTGGTAGGATCGACACCGGCAACGAACGAACACGTTTTCCAAAAGGGTCTCCATTTTTTTTGAAACACTTTTTGTTTTTCCCTATTCTATTATATTATTTTTTCGCGTTGCGTACCTTATAGGAAGAACTTGTCGGTCGTGCGTTTTCCCGAGAAATGTCAATTCCAACAGTGTGCATAAGATCGATCTTTTTTTTCTCGACTTTCGATGCGCGCCCTTCTCGGGAAAATGCAACGCAACGCAACGCAACTCTACACTTTCCGTAAAAATAAATAAATAACAAACAAAAAAAAAAAGACACGCATCATACACGGGGACGCGAGAGATATTTGCATGATGTGTATGATACGCGAATACTCTATAGATAAACACACGGCACACACATTAAATACTTGCATACATATAATATTAACATATGTAAGGATTAACATATGTCGTTTTCGATCGACAAGAGTACAGACAAATACGTCTAGATATATGATGTATAGTATAATACATATATATTTTTCTTCGAGTAACGGAAGACAATATTTCTCTGATCTTCGTCGCGCGTACACACACATATTATTATAATATTAAAATAATAACTTTTTAGACGACGCGTTAATAAAAAGCTGGGGTTTAAAGTTGCATCAACGGATTAAGAAAGAAAAATGCATATACACAAGAACAAAGTAAAAAAAAAAACCCTATTTGTATTTGTGTTGTACACAGAGAAAGAGAGCGGGACACGCGTAAATTATACGAGAAGACGCGCATATATAGGTAATATATTTAAGAAGACATTTGGACATCCATTTTAAAAGACCCGCGTTACGTAATCGTCGCGAGCGCGTAATTGGTCGAAAACGACGACAAGGAGGAGGAGGAGGAGGAGAAGGAGGAGGACGATGATTCTTTTTTGAAAGACGGGTGTGTTATAATAGTAGAACGACTGCGTTTATCCTTCTATCGCGATTACGGTGAGTCTACTTAAACTCAATAATTAATAAATGGTGATAAAAATGATTAAGAGTTTTGACGAATAAGAATAAGGAGGCAAAAATAATTAAGCCTGCGAGCGCGCTCTATTTTCGCGCTAAAAAAAATAATAATATAAGATATAAAATAATAATTATATCATTATAATTATATATATAAGAGAGAAGAAAACAAAACACAGAGGATACTCGTTCATAGGTTTACGTTTTAACGGTATGTTTATATAAGTGTATACACGTATGTGCGTGCGTACTGGACACGTGCGATGGATGGGTGCCGTTGTTGGGTGCTGCCTGTGCTCTATGCAAAGTACAAATGTACGTGCGTGTATGCTCGTATATATGCGTATGTATATTATATATACATAAATATTCTATAATAATAATAATAATAATAATAATAATAATAATAATAATAATAATAATGTGTAAGTCGCGTTCTTCGTACGTTGGCAAACGAACAAGATGTGAAATCCATGATTGAGATTAGCTGGTGTGAGAGGCGTTTTGATCTAATGGCGAATCCAATAATGAAATTAATTTCTATTTATAATAAGTGCAGGAATGAAAACACTTAGTCAATAAGAAGCGAATTAATTTATATAATAAAATTTCCCGCGTGGTGGGTACACGCGTCCTGCCGAGTTTCATCGAAGTCCGAAACTTGACTAAAATAATTAATAAACATTTGTGGTGTGTGTGTGTGAAAAATGCCAAATTAACCCTCGGTCTGTCTCGGGGAAATTTCATTTTTCTTTCGTCTTAAATTTCTAAACCCTACCCCCCTCCCACCGCGTAGAATTAAGCGATTCGATTGATCGATCTTTATTATTATTATTATTATTATTATTATTATTATTATTACTCTTTCCTCTCCTATTTATTATAATTAAGGGCTACTATTTACTTTACTATCACCCTCACCATCCCCTGTTATCAAAGTATTATTTAACAAATCTTTCTACCCCCTCTGAGCGATTTATTCTTCTATTTTCTTTTCCTTTTCATAGAGCTTTTTCCTATTATTATTTAAGTTTCGCGATGATAGACCGAGGGAACGGGGGATGCTACGATGAAGAGATGATAAAAAAAGAAATTAGGATGGGGACAAAAGTGGGGCAAGCGAGAAATATCAGGGTGTACAATTTGATGAAACGATAAGACAAAAGAAAAAGAAAAAAACAAATGCAGCGTTTATTATCATTACCATTATTATTATTATTTTTCTAATCAATATCGGATATCGATAATCTCGGAACGACGTTGTCCTAGCGCGAGAAGGGACGAAGAATGTGAGAAATTTCGAGCAATAAGCGATAAAACAACCTTATTAAAGCATCTACAATATTACCACTTTATCAATATGTACCTATATTAATAATAATAATAATAATAATTAATAAAGATAAGAGCGAGCGTTGCGTACGTAGTAAGTCTTACGAGATGATGGAAATAAAATCTAGAGATACGAAAACTTAATACTTAAGAGGACGCTGAGAAAGAAAAGAATAGAAAAGAAAAGAAAAGAAAAGAAAAGAAAAAGGTTCGGGGTGGTGTGGGGTGGGGGTGGGGCTTTTGAGGGGGAGAAGGTGGAAAATGAAATAAACGAGAAAGGGAAAAAGAAAAGCGTGAGAGAAAGGGCATACGCTAGGGGTGAAAGAAAATAGGGACGGGGGTGGGAAGGGTTTTTCATCCCTTCCGAACGACAAGTAATATTCTCTAGTGATATACACATATACATATATTATTATATATGTATATATATATAATAATAATAAATAAATAATAATAATAATAATAATAATATATATATATATAATAATAATAATAATAATAATAATAATATTAATTATAAACAATATTATTATATATATGACGATAATCATACCGTATTAATTATTAGCGACGAGAGAATACTTACGAGCTATGTTTAATGACTTACGAATGAAAATAATATGTTTTACAATTGTAAAAGAGGGATATTTGATGAACTAAATGAACAGGAAGGAGATTTATTTGGCGAATAAATATAAACAATTTAACGCCATCGATTGATAAAAGTTAACGTGGCATTTGCGTGTGCGTGTGATAATGCTAACGAAAAAGAAAGAAAGAAAAAAAGATAAGGGAAGATTACTTACAATTAATGCTATTGGCAAAGAGAGATGAACGAGATACCGGGCATGAATTTTTTACTTGTTCTAATACATCAAATTCTCTCTCTCTCTCTCTCTCTCCCTCTATAAAAAAAAAAAAATAATAATAATTAACGATTTTATTTGATTTGATTCAACTGTAACAGCAACCCCGGTATCGCAAACACGTCTTCCCTCTCTCTCTCTCTCTCTCTCCTCCTATTTCTCCTATTTGACAAACAAAATTTTTCCTTTTCGAAGGAGAGAAAGAGAGTCGTCCCTATTTTTTGTTTTTTTTTTATCTGAACACACGCACACCATTTACCACGTATACGACACGTACGAGATAAAATTTTCGGAAGAATTCTCTTTCCCTCTTTCTCTCTCTCTCTCTCTCTCTCTATCTTTCTTTTTCTCTCACTTTTTTCTGTCTTTCCCTCTCTCTCTCTCTCTCTCTCTCTCTCTGTGTTGTACGGCTTGCTCGTCGATAAGGGAGAAAAAAAAAATAAAAGTCGAGCTTTCGTGATATTTGTACTTAACTGTTAAGTCCCCATTAATAAAAAAAAAGAAGCTGGTGTGTTTTTAAAGTAAAATAATACAAGCGAATAATCGAGTTAACGTGATTATCAAAGCGTCGTTGATAGCAATAACATTTTTGGTATATGATGATGATGATGATGATGATGATGATGATGATGATGAATGTTTGATGCGTTCGACTCGACGAGCAAGCGAATTAAATCGGCAATAAATAATAAGTAAAAATCGTTTTAGGCGTACGGGAATATCGAATTTCTTCGATGGGGGTTTTTATTTTTTTGTTTCCTCTTAAAAATTGTTTTAGACAAAGTTAGGAATAATTACGAGAGAAACGTACGAGCGAATAAAGTAAAGTTAATTCATCTTTTCTCGCACGGGGGTTGCACACGGATTTCAAAATAAAAAAGATGGAAAAAGAAAAAAAAAGAAAGAAGAAAAAAAGGTGCGGGCGAGACTGCGTTGCGTTTACAAGAATTCGTCATAGTTTCTCTATCTTATTTTTTTTTTTTTTTTCATCTTCTTTCCTTCCCCTATTTCTCATCCCTTAACGAACAAATCTTCTTCCTGGTTTTTTCTTTCTCTCTCTCTCTCTCTTTCTATCCTTGAAATTCATATCCCAGTCATCTCCCAACCCCCCAAACCCCATGCCAAGAAATACCTATTTAATATTACCACAACCGATGATCATATATATGTATTTTACATTGCGGATGTCTAAAGTAATTTATTATTAACGTAGCTTGTATTTTGATGAGCGCTAACCATCTACTAGTTGACTGTATGAATCATTAGGTGAAGCATGCTGGTTGAATTATCTTCTTCCAACTTTAATATCTTTATCTTTTTCTTTCTTACCTTTAATTTTTTTTTTTTTCACGGATATATTATATATATATTGTCATATACATATATACATATATATATATATTTACGATCGAATAATAAACGAAATTACTTTCT